TATATTTTTTGTGAACAATCAGAATACAAATAAAAAAGTTACAACACTTCAATGAAAAGAGAAGATTTTTAATTTGGGTGGGACCCATTACCGTTGTTCTCTTTGGCGTTGCTAAGTTGCGTAAGTATTCTTTGGAAAAGCCGCCACTTCAAGTGGCGGTTCTTGTACCGCAAGAGAAAAACCGCCACTTCAAGTGGCGGCTTTGCTTAACCACGGTTAATCCGGTAGTATTTTGGGAATTATTTTTAACCACTAGTAAAAATTTGTTAAATTGCGTCACGTCATTTGAGGCGCTTAAAAAACAAGCGCCTTTAAAATATACAACGTGCGGCGCTTTTCTCTCTAAGCACCTCTAATATGTTTTTAATTTTTTAATTATTTAATGTTTCGGGTCTTTGCGGCGCTTATTTATAAAAGCGCCGCAGACCGACGCCAAATTTTTATTCAAAAATAAACTAATTTTTTTAAAAATCGGATTTTTAAAAGAGGCGTGCGGCGCCTTTATGCAAAAAGCGCCGCATACATGTTCCGATTTCCTAGGCGGCGCTTATATTTAAAAAGCGCCGCGGACCGACGCCAAATTTTTATTCAAAAATAAACTAATTTTTTTAAAAATCGGTTTTAAAAAGAGGCGTGCGGCGCCTATATGCAAAAAGCGCCGCATACATGTTCCGATTTCCTAGGAGGCGCTTATATTTAAAAAGCGCCGCAGACCGACGCCAAATTTTTAATCAAAAAGAAACTAATTTTTAAAAATTCGGATTTTAAAAAGAGCCGTGCGGTGTCTTTTTTAAAAAGCGCCGCATACGTTGTTCCAGTTTATGCGGCCATGGCCGGTCGCTCACAAAACAGAAATCGATTCAGTTGGATAAACCCTAAGGCCGGCCGCGTCGTCGTCGCACCTAGTCCGTGACCCATCCGTCACCTCCGCCGCTCAACCTCCGCCGCTCCTCCGCTCACCTTCGTCGCCGTCGAAGCCGTCGAGGGTCGTCCGCCGCTCACTCCAGCCGCGCGCAGCCGTCGAGGGTCGTCCACGTCAAGTGTGCGACGAGCTCCGGTCGTCCGCCGCTCACTCCAGCCGCGCGCAGCCGTCGACGGTCGTCCGCGTCAAGTGTGCTTCGAGCTCCGGTCCTCCGGTCCGCTTGTCGCCGTCGAGCTCCGGTCCGCTTACTCCAGCCATCGGTCTCCCATTTCACAGCAGGTATGTATATTTTTTTAATAGTAAAATTTTTCAATATTTTTTATTTTTAATTAATTTTGAGTAATATAATTTTGGAATAGTTGTAATGAGCAGCAAAATACTTCCAAGAGGTTGTTTTATATTAGCATAACCCTCAATTGCAATCTTACATAAAAAGTGTGCTTAAAAAGAAAAAAAGTATGCAATAATTTATTATTATTTTTTTATTTTTAGATAAAGTTTAGTGTTGTTAATCATGGATCGTAGCTGGATGTATGGTTTGCGAAATACTTCTCAATTTTTCAATGGTGTTCATGAGTTTGTGAAAGTGGCTGTTGCGCATCAGAAGCAACAAGGACAAAATGGAATTTTATGTCCTTGTTCAATGTGCCGTAACATTAAAAGAGAGAATGACGTGAACATAGTTCTTCAGCATTTATTTGAGAAGGGTTTTAGAGAAAACTATATGACAAGGACATTCCATGGTGAGAATCGTGTGGATGTCGAAGACCTTTTTTCTGGAGTAACTTCTAGTCATCTAAAGCGTAAAGCTACTCATATTTCTACTACTTCAAATGATATTGATGATGATGTTGCGGATGATGATGCCAATGAAGATAGAATTGATGAACTCTTGAATGATGTTCATGATAATATTGATTATCAACCAAAATCTTATGAGAATTTGATTGAGGCCGCCAATATACCGCTATTCACGGGTTCTGAATTCTCCAAACTATCTGCTGTTCTCAAATTATTTCACTTGAAAGCTAAACATGGGTGGAGTAATGTTAGTTTCACTGAGTTGCTGATATTGCTTCAAGAAATGCTTCCAGAAGGAAATACACTTCCCGATACGAGCTATAAGGCTAGAAAGTTGTTGTGTCCAATGGGAACAGAATGGGAGAAGATTCATGCATGCCCAGCCGATTGCATACTGTACCGCAATGAATATGAAAACCTAAATGAATGTCCAAAGTGTCACGCTTCACGTTATAAGAAGAAGAAGGGTATTAATGTTGGGTTTGATGCTGAATACACCAAAACACCTGCCAAAGTGTTGTGGTATCTTCCTATCATTCCTAGATTTAAAAGATTATTCATGAATGAGAAAGATGCAAAAAACTTAGTGTGGCATGCTCAAGGCAGGAAAAAAGATGAGTACTTGCGACATGTATCTGATGCACCACAGTGGAGGCAAATTGATTTGAAATATCCTGATTTTGGCAAAGAAGAGAGGAATTTGAGACTTGGATTATGCACTGATGGTATGAATCCATATGGCACATTGAGTAGTCAACATAGTACTTGGCCAGTTTTATTGGTTATTTATAATTTGCCTTCATGGTTGTGCATGAAGAGGAAGTACATAATGTTGTCTCTGCTTATCTCAGGACCACAACAACCCGGTAATGATATTGATGTGTACCTCGCACCATTAATTGATGATCTTAAACTTATGTGGAATGAGGGTGTTACAGCATATGACATGCACACAAAAACAAATTTTAATTTGCGTGCTTTGTTGTATTGCACTATTAATGACTTTCCAGCTTATGGAAATCTTTCTGGATATACAGTTAAAGGTGGAAAGGCATGTCCCATTTGTGAAGATGACACTCTTGATTTGCGATTACCCAATTGCAAAAGGAATGTATACATGAGTCATCGAAGATTTCTTGCACGAAACCATCGTTATCGTGCACTCAAAAAGGCACTTAATGGAAAAGCTGAACACGGTGTTCCTCGACGTGTATTAAAGGGATCAGAAATATATGATAAGGTCAAAGATTTGAACACGGTTTTTGGTAAGCCATATAAGCGGAACAAATAGAGTTTGTGGAAGAAGAAGTCTATTTTTTGGGAACTTCCGTATTGGAAGGATTTATCTGTGAGGCATTATCTTGATCTTATGCACATTGAAAAAAATGTGTGTGATAGCATCATTTCGACCATTGTGAATGTTCCAGGAAAGACAAAGGATGGAATTAATATCCGAAAAGACATGATTGAACATTTAAATATTCGAAAAGAATTGGCACCACAACCGCGGGAAAATGGTTTTTATCTTCCACCAGGTTGCTACACACTCTCAAAGGTTGAGAAACGAATTTTTTGTGAAAGCTTATATGGCATCAAAGTGCCTTCTAGGTATTCTTCAAATTTTAAGAATCTCGTATCATTGAAGGATATGAAATTGGTTGGTTTGAAGTCTCATAATTATCATGTTCTGATGCAACATTTGTTGCTTGTTGTTCTACGAGGGCTTTTACCTGATTATGTTAGATGTGCGATCATGGGGTTGTGTTTCTTCTTCAATTCCATATGTCAGAAAGTAATTCACCCTGAGAAACTTGATGTGTTGCAAGCTGAAGTGGTTATTACATTGTGTCAGCTTGAAATGTATTTTCCACCTTCACTATTTGACATTATGGTGCATCTTGTGGTACATCTGGTTAGAGAAGTCAAGATGTGTGGTCCTGTGTTTTTACGATACATGTACGGAATGGAAAGACATATGGGATATTTGAAATCAAAGGTGAAAAATCGATGTCAACCTGAAGGAAGTATAATCAGGGGTGTAATTGATGAAGAAGTCATTGAATTTTGCACACCTTATTTGATGAATGTTGAATCATTAGGTGTTCCAAAGTCTAGACATGATGATAGGAATGAAGGAAAAGGCATACTTGGAAAGAAATTACTAAAGAATGTGGACAATGAGTTAGTGGAAAAGGCCCATCTTCTCGTGTTGCATCATTTAGAAATTATTTCTCCATATGTGCAACAACATATGAATGCCTTGAAGACTCAATTTCCGTTGAAAAGTGAAGTTTGGTTGACTAAAGAACACAATCGTACGTTTTCATCTTGGTTTAAAGACTTCATCTTCAATGACAGGAATGATGTTTATAATGAGGTTGATGAAGATGTTAAGTGGTTGGCTTATGGTCCTAAATGCACAATTGATTCATATGAAGCATACGATATCAATGGCTACACCTTTTATACTACCCGACAGGATGCCAAATATGTATTACAGAATAGTGGGGTATCAGTGGTAGCATCTTCAACAGAATATGCAAGTCTAAATGATCAGAATCCTCTTTATGCACAATGTCTTACTATGGAAAAATTGAGGATATATGGGAGTTGAATTACACGAACATGAGTTTTTCACTTTTCAAGTGTCAGTGGGCCGATATTCGAAGAGGTGTTCAGCGTGATCAAACAGGAGTGACATTAGTGGATTTTACTCGACCCGGATATCGTGATGATCCGTTTATACTTGCATCCCAAGCTGAACTAGTTTTTTATGTAGAGGATCCCTCAAACAAACGATGGTCAGTTGTTTTACCAGGTAAGAAAAAATTAAGTGTGGATGATGGTGACGTTGGAGAAGATGATTATATTGAAGATATGCCGTCATTGTCCACTGACATGCATGACAGAAATGCAACAATCGATTACAATGAAGATGATCTTTCATTTGTTGGAAATCATAACGATGTCATAGAAATTTTCTTCAAAAAGTCAAAGTGATATCATGAGTGAATTGTAAGTAATCTTAACGTTATTATGTTTTTTTCTTGAATTAAAATTCATTTTTCTTTCATATATTATTTGTGCTTCTAATAATAACACCGTTGCAGGAGCTACACACTATGAGTGATAGTGATGAAGATGATTTTATTCTCGATGAGGAACCTCATGTTACGGCGGAGGAACATAGTAGCAGTGGGCGCAGAACTAGCGACAGGGAAAAAATAGTTGATTTTGATAAAAATGGTCAGCCAGTTGGTGCGTGGGCGGAGAAGTTCAAATCTTTTGTGGGCAAGATAGTACGTGCTCGGGTAAACATCAACATTGAAAGTTGGAAACATGTCCCCGAATCCCTAAAACTGCAGATGTGGAAAGAGATCCAGGTATGTACACTTAATTATATATTTTAACTTTATTAATAATAAGAAAAGATTACAAGTCCTAATGCATATATTAAATCACCACTATGTAGGATGAGTATTTTGTTGATGACACCATGTACAAGTTGACCATAAAAAAGATGGGAAAGTTACACCGGGACTTTAGAAACCGATTGAGGACTGACTTTTTTTATAAGACACGACCAGTTGGACAGGATAGTGGTGAAGCTTATGTGAAGTATAAAGGCATTTTGACACAAGATGTGTGGGAGGATTTTATCGCTAGGAGCATGACTCCGGAGTTTCAGGTATAATCCAAATGTAATTTTATTGAATTCAATTTTGTTTTATAATATGAATTCCATACTTTTTAAATTTTATGCAGGAATTAAGTGATAAAAACAAACAAGCTGCGTTACTGAATATTTACCCTCACCATATGGGTCGCTCCGGATATGCACTTTCCATACCGAAATGGAAAGATCAAGGATTACTAGATCAGTTTTTGACTAAGTCATCTGAAGTGGATTCCACAAAATCTAGCGTATCTTCTGATGACATTCCGAGACATGTGAGTTGGTTTTGTGCTAGATCTGGATTGACAGCAGATGGACAACTAGCTTTCCCGAGTAACACCGAAGCCATGAAAAAGAAGAAAGAAAAACTTGTAAGTATGTTTCACATAAGTATATTTTACGTATAAACTTTTCACATAAGAATGTTTTACGTATAAATTTTGTAACTCTTTTTTTATATGTAATAGGATAAAATTCAAGATGATGTTGCTATAGGGACGTGGAAGCCACACGGACGACATGATATTCTTACCGAGATATTTGAGAAACCTGATTATCCTGGACGTGTACGCGGTGTTGGAGGAGGTGTGGGGCATAAAAGAGTGTTTGAGCGAGAGCCGAGGAGTTCACGTAAGATTGGTAATTTGAGCGATACTGATTTGAAGAAGTTACAGGATCAGTGGATGAAAGATATGGAAAAAGCTTTTGCTCAAAGAGGATTCCAATCTACCACATTTCCATCTACGCATTCTCAAACAGTAGATGCAGACACTATGAACTCCACCGCACCTATTCCACGAAATTTTTTTGTTGTAAGTAATTATTAAAATCATATATATTTATTAATGTCTACAAGATTTATTAACTTTTTTTTTGAAAATAATTATAGGACGGTTCATCCTGTAAGCTAGCTGTTGAGTCACAAACAGAAGATGGACACAAAGATTTGAAATATGTAGCAATGACTTTGGCTTATAATACAGCCCCGGGGGCCATGATACATAATATTCCGATGTCTACTAATACCATTAAAGTTAACATATCTATGATTTATACAGGTTTTGTGAAATGTCATCCTTTGTTTCCATATATAGTGTTCACAGATTTTGTGAGATGCAAATCTTTAAATGTTATTATTATTATTCAAGTTTGTTTTTTGTTTCAATGGTTTTTACAGGTTTTGAGCAATGTCCTCTTTTAGTTCCAAATGAAAATGCTGAGATATATGTGTTGACAGACGCTATAGGATCATTTGTTGAGTGGCCTAGTCATTTAGTTTTTTTTGAAGGAGAGGTGAATAAATAACTCTTTGCAATTATCAAACAATACAAAATTACTCTATGTTACTGTCATTCTGACCATTTTTTTAGGATCAGGTAAAGTCAAAGCGGAAAGATGTGATTCAAAAGAATAAAGCTTTTATTCCGAGAGAGTCTCCTCGGGTTGTGGTTCCTCCTAGCACATACCCATTGGTTAGTGATACTATTTTGCAGTCACTAACCGAAGATTTATTGGAGCTACATGAGATGCTAGAGTGGTATGAGCCAGAGGTGTGTAAATTCTCTATTGCTTTACCTGTTGATGCTTTTCACTATCCGCAAAACAGTGAATTTGGGACTATCATCGATCGTAAAGACTTGGCTGAATTACTCGAGGGTGATTCTGTGGATATGTGCATCATTCAATCCTTTGCATTGTAAGTATTTTAAATAAATATAACAATATTTAAATTAAAGTTAATGAAATGATTTGAACTTCAAAATTGTATAATGATGCTATATTATGTTTATTATAGGTGCGCCTTAGCTAAATTGAATGATTTGCAACGTGATGATGTTGTGTTTTTGTGCCCCTTATTGCGCTCTTATGGTTCTTATCAACTTGACAAGAAGGGCACAATAACAAATATGAAACAATCTTTGTGTGCGACATTTGGAAAAAGAATGATCTTGCTTCCATATAATGAAGGGTAAATAGTTTTATTTTATATAATGTATCTGTTTATGTAAATTTAATTTTTTAATTAATTGTATTTTTTTTATATTTAGATTTCATTGGATTTTGATAGTCATTTTCCCCTCGGTTAATAAAGGCTATATCTTCAATTCAATCCCAAGCTTTTCTAATATCAGCATTCAGAAAGATCTAGCATTGTAAGTATTCTTTTAATATTTTTTATTTATTTAATTGCTATAGATTATTATTATTATTATTATTATTATTATTTATATCATATAACATAATTTTTTTAATGTAGAGCATACAGAGTTGCTTCCGCAAGAAATGGTGATGGAAAGCCAATCACATGGCATAATGTTAAGGTAAATTCATCAATAACTTATTTCAATCACCATTAACTTTGATACATATATTTTGTAAATTTGTATTTCAAAAAAGTGTGTCAGACAAAATGGAAACACAGAATGCGGATATTATACCATGCGATACATATGGGAAGTGATTTCGTAAGTTGATAGCTTTGATATTGGAAAGGTATATCATTATTTGTTCTTATTTTTTAACTTCGTTTAATTTTTTCTAATTTAAAAGTTGTAATATTTTTTATTTATGTTTTATTTTATCTAAATATTTGTAGGATTGGTATTCAAGAACCGAGGCATATTCTGAAGATGAGTTTAATAACATTCGCAATATATGGGCACGATTTTTCTTGGATGTACTCTTAAATATGTAAAAGTTGATTACATTTGTTATGTATTGCGTTAAGTGTTTTTTGAAATCATTTTTATGAAGATTTTTGTAATCTATGTTGGTTACTTGAATTGCTTACACTTTGCTGATTTTGTAATTTGTGAAGTTCATGTTGTTGATATTGTGATGATTTTAAAAAGTTTACACTTTTGGTATTTTGTTAATTCTGTTCCAGGACGTACTTTTGAAAGATCCTAAATATGATTGAATTTTTTTTAAAAAATGTTGAATACTTGCGGCGCTTATTTGTGTAAAGCGCCGCGAAAATTAAAAAAATAAATTAATTTAATTTATTTAAAAAACATTTGCGGCGCTTATATAAAGAAAGGCGCCACACGGGTACGTCGAAAATTATTAATTTTAAAAAATATTTTGCGGCGCCTATACGCAAAAAAGCGTCGCACACATATTAAATATAATTTTTTTAAAAATAAAATATTTGCGGCGCTTTTTGAAATTAAGCGCCGCACGCGTTAAATTGCGGCACCGAGATTTGCGGTGCTTTAAAGCGTCGCAAGTTGCGTGATTTAAGTGCAGCAAAAAGGTAATTTTGCACCAGTGAACCCACCAATATTGTGGGAATTATTTATTTAGTTAGATTATTTCGGGAAAAACTCTTTTTTCCCCTCAAAAATAGACCTCATTTCACTTTTTGTTTCAAGCCCTCTGATCTCTAGACACGGCCCTGACGGTGAAGGCCCTCAAACGAGCTGGGTCGGACTACTGTCGGACTATGTCAGGACTAACGTCCTGACATGAAGATTCATCTCTTCACGAATATGGTGAGCTTGATTACAAAATAGATTGCAAGTTCAATGATCTCATCGATCGTGTGTTACAAGAGGCACGAAGTAATCTTATATTCGTTGAACTTTTTCACTAGCTCGTTCGCCTAACCATCCAACGACTTTGGGTCCTATTCCGTCACCTGCGGAAGTTAGTTGGGCAGCTTTATCCTCTCCTCTCTTAGTCTCTTGATATTCAAATTGGATCGCTCTTATAGATTTAGCTCTACGTACAATCCCTCCAAATTGGGTTGTCGAGTGGGCAGTGGTGGATCCAGAGATATGTGAGAGCGGGATCACTGGTTTTTAAGTGCTACTAGTGAAATTCCGGATCCGAAGCGGGGACACTAGTTTTTATCTTAAGTGCTACTAGTGAAATTTCGGGCCCGATGCCCCTGTTTCGGGTATATTTGGGAGTTTGGAGGGAAGGGGAGGGGAAAACTTTGAAGGTATGTTGTTGGAGGGGAAAGTAAGGTGATGGTGAGGAAACCCTTCTTTGTATTTGGGAGTAATAAAATTGGAAGGAGAGAGTTTTTGAAGGAATTATAATTAAAATCACTTTGAGATATGACGAATTCAAATCATTGAGCTGATATTCGTTTCTAATTTAGCTTAAATTACCATTTTGTTAATTATCCTCCAAAACCCTCCAAATTGGAGGAACTTAAAAATTAAGCATTTGGAGGGTTTTGAAGGGGTTACAAAAGCCCTCCAAAACCACCCTTCCAATTTCTTAAACTCCCAAACATGAAAAGGAGAGTCATAAACCCCATTAACCTTCCTCTCCCCCTCAAAACGCAACTCCCAAACACACTCTTAGTCCTCCACTCGGTTGTCGCATATCCTTAGCAAACTCTTGGGCCTAGCCTTCCGTTACATTTGTTTAATAATCTTGGGCCTAACACCAACGTTGATATAATTCTTTAATTTGTCTTTTCTCTCCGAAGAACAAGAGGATCAACTTCGAACAAAAACGTGCAAGCTTGTCAAAAATTATTTAAAAGGGACAACCTTTAATCCTAATATTATCCATGTTGTATTTATGTGCACATATATAAGAACTATACGTATAACTTCTGCGTACTGGACGATTATAAAATGAAGGTTGAGGTCAAGGGAAGGCTTAGAAATTCAAGTTAGACTGAGCTAAATATTATTCGTTTAAAGACTTTCATTGCAAAATGACACGATTATTTAGATAATGATTAAATAATGTAATTTGAATATATTTTGTTACATAAATTTGATTGACATATAATATAATAAAGTTATTGATAATTACTGTAATGTCATAGATATATTATTTTTAATATTTGATGATTAAATAGCATTTAGGAGTGTTAATAGTTTTTTAAAATATACGGAGTAAATTAGAACCTTTAATCCTTTATGTGGGACGTCTAAAATAGGAAAGTGAGAAATTCTAGAATGGGACAGAGAGAGAATAATTATACTAGGCATAAAATTTAAGGGAGTGGGTTAAATATGAAAAATGGAAAACTTCATACTAAAAAATTGGAAATAAGTTCTACTTACCATGAGCATCAATCTATTATATTCCTTCCGTCCTAATATTATCTTCATTCTTTCCTTTTTGTTTGTTCAATTCTAAACTCCGCTTTCCCTTTTTGGCAAAGAATGTGCAGGTTCACAGCATTTGTCTTAATTGTCTCCACTTGCGGTCTCCTCCGCACAACTTTAGGCCACACATTTCTCACTCTTTTAATTGCATGTGTGCTAAGTCAAAACAGGAGTTAATAATGGGATTAACTTGATAATCAAAATGAAAAAACATGCGCCATACACAAAAAGTTATGGTTATTACCAATTCCTCACCTAGAATTGCGCATTTGACGATTAATCCCATTTTATCGGATACTGTATGGGTGTTCCCGATTCCCCTTCCATTATAATTATATATCTTATGTATTTATACAAATTGAAAAACAATAAACACCAAAATCTCAATACAAGATAAAATTAAAGATTAATAGTAGTTTAATATATAAACAACATATATATTTCTTTAATTATTATCTTGTCAGATTTGAAGTTGATATATAAGGAGGAGACTTCATCTCCGAACCTTGAGGTATAGTATGTGCATGTCGATCATATGTTAATTAGTTTTAAAGCGCACAAAAATCATTCTAAGCTATGATATTCGTAGTTTTTAATATTGTAAAAGTTATATACTTCGTATATGTATATATATACACTTTGATTTTGGTGTGCAGTGTTTGGCGTTTACTATTAGGACTCCTTCATAGTCCCTCCGTCCCTTAAAACTTTACCATCTTTCCTTTTTGGAACGTCTCAAAAAACTTTTTGAACCACACAATCTCAACCACACAATTTTTACATTATTATTCTCCGTGCCGGTTAACTTTGGCAAAGTTTTAAGTGACGGAAGTAGTATTAATTTTGTTCTACGCAGGATAAAATTAATCTCATGCTAACCAAGCAAAAACATAGTCTCTAATTGAAATTAAATGTGTCTTAACGTATATACTTTTCTTTTAGTCTGCTTAATTTTTATTTGCATGGCGCGAGAAAATATGTCACATTTTTTTGTTAGAATCCCACACCGGTAAAGTTTGAATCAACAAAGTGCTATATTAACACATGAGCTACTCCTCCTATCAGGTTGACCTTTTAGGATGGAACTCTATGTTTTAACATTGTATCAGAGTCAAACCGATCCATAACCATGGTGTGGGCCCCCTTATGAAAAATGACGACATGATTAAAAAATGACAATGACGAATCGACGAAAAAAATGATTGATGGCATGATCCAGACGAAGTGTCTGGTCATGAGGAGGGGTGTTAGAATCTCACACCGGAAAAATTTGAATCAACAAAGTGTTATATTAACACATGAGCTACTCCTATCAGGTTGACGTTTTAGCCAAACTTAATTTTGGTGCAGAATGGGTATCTCAACAAGGTCACGCCAGGGGATAAGTTTGCTTATTTGTTGCTTCGTAATTTTTGTGCAATCAAAGGGATCAGAAGCCCAGATGGTCTACAAAACCGTTGTTGAGAGTGCCAGTGCGGAAGGAGCTGGTAAAATACAAAGCAAATTCTAATTATTGTCTAATGCTAATTGCATTAATTATCCTATTTATCTTATTTGCGGCCTTCCAACAAAAACTTTATAATGTAGAAATAGGAGTATTTATAATCCATAAAAAATATGTCAAAATTGTAAGTAGTCTTCACCCTTGCAATATACGTAGTAATTTTTTTAACCCCCTAACCATACAACTCTAGCTCGATCAACCAATGCAGTTATTTGTATGCAGTAATAATTAAAAATAAATATATTTGAAGAACATGAAAAATTATATTAATAGATTTTTTTCTATGAAAAATTCCATTAAAATTACTTTTTAAAATGTGGTGGACAAAAATATTACATAGTAACTTTTAGTGACCATCACAACTAATTGTAGTCACTAATAATTACTAAGTAATATTTTTCTTCATGACTTTTTTATTATTAATATTTAAGGAAAACCCCCTTTTTCTATATGTAGTAACAATGTGGTGAACACTTGGTTATTATTTTTTGTCTTATTTTAATAATATAATAGAAAAAACACTTTCCAATGTCCACGTTCACCCAATATGTTTTACAACAACAAAATCAAGGAAATAGTTTAATACATAAAAAACAATTTTCAAAAATAGTTTATGTTATATATATGTGTGTTTAATCATACATAGTTTATGTTCTTATTTAGTTGTGACGGTTTGAAATATACGTTTGCCAAAACACTTTTTTGATAACCGTTGATATTAATTTAATTTGTAGTTTGTTTGGATGGGAGTCCACCGGCGTATATTTTGGATCGAGGAAGTGACGAAGGAGCACAAAATTGGTTGGTTTACGTTCAAGTAAGTGCATGCCGCACCGCAGCTTCATTATTGTTTCAGAAATTGCTCTAAATATGAGCAAAAACGTTTTAAAATTTTAAAATATGGGTATCATGTTTTTTATTCCTTGAATAAGAGTAATCTGCCAAGTTTGGAAAAAATGTCATGTTTTAAAGCCCAGTAATGCCAAACTTGGCAGAAATTTACTCCTATTTAAGGAATAAAAAACATGATAGTCCTATTTTGGAATTTCAAAAATATTTTACTCCTATTTAGGGAATTCTCTCTTATTTTTTATACAACCAGAGAGCAATTATACGAGCTATATGGAAAATTATATTTTACATCCCGTTGTACAATGTCACTGAACAATCAGGTATTTTACATTAAAAGAAATAAGTATAACGATTAAAATAAATGAGTATGAGTATTAAATTATAAAATTAGCACAATAAATATTTTAAGGATAATGCAATGATAATATATTTAAATGAATAAGTTGATTTGCAACATCTATATCACGTGTAGATCATGATATTCAATTGCATGTTTTTAATACTCAATTGTGCTATCAATACAACGATTTAATATCAATACTCATTTCATTTTAACTTTAACGTTATACTCATTAAACATTACATAAAATACCGGTTGTATAGTGAGTATATTGTTCAACTGGATGTAGAATGTAGGCTCTCATTTTACATCTTGCTTCAAATTTGGTATTCTTCCATATATAATTTAAAGAAATTGCCTTAACTTCGATTAAAACGTTTGTGTATTTCAATTATGTCTCTCAAGTTTTTAGTTTTGAAATTGCCGGTAAAAATAATCTGGAATTTGAAAATAAGACTAACCTGTTTTTCTTCTTGAAATAGAAGTAACATGACAATATTTACTGCCATCGTGGAATCGATATTGTCAAAATAGTTGCAGTACTAGACATTGACCTGACATTATTTAGTGTTATTCATGACATTATTTTTCAAACATGACGGATTGACGGTAATATAACAACTCTTATTTATTGATCCAGGGAGGAGGGTGGTGTATAAACAACACCAATTATGATACTGCTGATAACAGTGTTCAAAGCTGCACAGAGCGTGCAACTGGAGAACTGGGTTCATCATTCCTGATGACGCCTATGGAATTTAATAAAAGCGTGTTTGGGAACGAGTCAAGATTGAGCTATTTCTATAACTGGAATCGAGTCATTCTCAAGTATTGTGACGGTGGATCGTTTCTTGGAGATGTTGACCAACCCGATCCTGTATCTACGCTTTAATTTATTACTTGCAATGTGTTGACTTTATTCATCACTTGAATCTTGATCATATTATATATATACTAACTTTAATTTATTATGTTCCTTTTCTAGGATACTAAACTTTACTATCGAGGAGCAAGGATTTTCAAAGCGCTGACTCGATATTTGATGGAAAATGCTGGTCTGAAAGACGCTCAAAATGTATACATACCCTCTTAGAGATTTTGATGGAGACAGTAATAAACATCTATGTTATACGGAAACGTTAAAATCGTGAGGAAACGAGAAATGGGAAACACCAACTTTTAGTTAAAACGATTATTTAGAGATTTTCCCACCACAAAAAATGGGATTGACACGGATTTGCAGGTGATTTCATGACAAATATCTGACCCCAAAGTGGGTTTTGCACGAATTTGGCATATCTCTGCCAATTTCTCTAATAATTTTGGTGAATCCCTATCAAGAATCTCCGTCAAACTCGTGTTTTTTTAGTGTATGTAGAGTTTCCAAAATAGAAACGTACTGTGTTCCGAGAATTTTTTTACTACATAGATAATCACTTTTATATATATTGACAGTTCGATCAAGTAATCATTTTATTATTGTGTACTTTGTTACTGAAGGTACTTCTTGCTGGAGGTTCCGCAGGTGGAGTAGGTGTGATGGCACATTGTGATAATTTTCGAAGCCTATTTCCAGATAATGTGAGAGTAAAATGTCTAGCGGACAGTTCTCTCTTCCTTCATGTGTAAGCCATATATTACAATTATGTCTTGAAATTCTCACTTGCATTGATTTATATTTAATGCTGAGTTAATCTAATCCTCAATTGTGTATTATATTTGATGAGTAGGAACGATCCCAAGCGAGCAGAATGGTTTGAAGGTCTCTTTGGTAATGTAGTTGGTCTACATGTAATGCTCCTCCTTCCTTTATCATTTTATCCAATCCTTTAGTGGTTTAGTACTTCTATCCTATTGTTCTATATTTCAAAGAAATTGCTCAAAGTGAAAATAAAAATGATCTAATAAAGTTTTAAAACATGATGAAACATGTTTTGTTCCTAAGAGCCCGTTTGGTAGCATGAAAATCGGCTGTTTTGGCTGATTCTGCTGAAATTTATGAAGTTCTGGCTGAAGTGACTGTTTTGGCTGATTCTGCTGATTCAAGAAAAAAATATTTTAAAAATATATTTTATTAATAAATTAAAGAAAAAATTACATGTAAAAATAGATAAAATGGTCCTCTGCAGTAACTTCAGCCAATACAGCCAGAAAAGTAACTCCAACCTTACTTTTTCTGCTTATTACACAATTCAGCACACGAAAGTAAAAGTTACGTGTTTGGTGAAAAAGTTGGCTGATAAGCCGAAAAAAGAGGTCTCCAAACGGGCTCTAAATATGGCTTACCTAGTCTTAGTAAAAAAAAACTTCTCCAAATAGGAATGAACGAGCTCTATTTTACAAAGAAAACGACACTCATATTTAAGGAATTGAACTATATACATTATGATGTATTTCTCTTTAGGGGTGTATTTTCCGTTTTTAAACTCTTAAAGTTACATTTTTTTCTATTTAACGTCTACTCATTTAATTATATTTTGGAATGTAGAAACCCGAGAAGGCATTGCCCACAGAGTGCACCTCGAAGATGGATACATTATCGGTAAGTTAACTTGTATACTTATGTTAAAACTTTACATAAATTAAAATAATTGTTAAAAAATCCTTGATATGTTATTAACTCCACATTTCAATTATTTATGTGAACGTGTGCAGTGCTTTTTCCCCAAAAATTTGGTGCAATATGTCAAAACACCCATCTTCATTATAAATCCCGCACAAGATTCATTTCAGGTGAATTAGTAGCTCATTCGTTATCTTGTTCTTTTGTATCTTAAAACAGTAGAAGAGCAATGTGAAACTCTAAGATGAGTATACTATGATTTTTCCTTAAATAAGAGTAATCATTGGCAGAGAAAGTGATCCAGCTCAGCTGGTCGTCTCAATCTCCCTTATAAAGAACTTGGGTTCGAAACTGAACGGAGACAGTTTCCACCCGATTTACCTCAAGATCCTCAGCTCCCTTCTCTTGGGGTAAAAAAAGTAATTGTTGGCATGCTTTGAAAATTAATTATTGCTAATAATGACATTAGTGCCATATTAATGTTTGATCTTATAAGAGCAAAAATAATAAAACTAAATTCTAAATTAAAGTAAGAGCACTAACATTTTTCTTCAAATAAATAAGAATAAATATTGTCATGGATTGAAAATTAAGTGCTGCACATAATGGTGTTTATACTGTCACAATAATACTATCTTTGACTTATTAATAATTACAGGTAAGACACACTTTCTGGGAGGATCTATACTTGCAAGTTAAAAATAACACGGTTGGTCCAGCTGATATGGCTTTGCTAAAAGGTACATTCCTATATTGAAAAAACCATTACTTGGACCATTATAAGTAGTATGACATGAAAGATACTCAATATTTACTCTATGTATAACCAGAAAGATTTTGTACGTTGATTATATAGATTTCAGACAACAAATAATCAGTGCTTTACCTCAACAAAGTGACAAGAACGGATACATAATTACCTCCCGTTTTGGGCATAGCTTAGGATCTGGAATAGGCTACAAATTGTCAATGTTTGCCGATGCGAGCTCAAAGGTATAATTGTAGTTTTTGTTGTCCTTTTCAATTTATTATAGTATCTTTTCTAAGGTATAATTATAGTTGAAATGGCGTGAAAATTAACTCTATCAATCCAAAACAAAAGGCTCATACAAATAGTTCCACATTATATATATATATATATAAGCTCTACTGTTTTCTCAAAACCTTAAAAAGTAAAGTAGAAATGAATAATTATTGTGGACGTACAAAAGAATGATGAATGTTAAACACACAACTCATCCCTAACAAAAAAAATAGAAAGAAAATTTTGAGACATCTAAGAAAGAAAAGTGAAAAGCAAATATTGGAGTGGAGGCTTTATTATATACGAACAGATTCTTGGTGATTTATTCTTAGATATTTTCAATATATTTAGAGTGGAGGCTTTATTACATTAACTTACATAAAAATATGACTTACTAATTACATACCTATTTTATCTTTTTTTTTCAGTCATTTGAGACCGCATTAGTGGATTGGTTCTTCGACCGAAGTCCTGCAAACTTCATAGACCCAAGGGAAGAGCCATTCTACTCATAATATTAATGATAAGTTGTTCAACTTCAAAGACTGAGTGACAGAAAATCCAATGTATTGCACTATTGAAATATTGCATTGATTGTAAATTTGTAATTCTTCTTCACTGCGCCAACTATAAATTAATTAATGATTGGAGCTCTTACTCACTTAAACATTTTGTATAATGTAACCAGTCATTTCCATATGTGTCTATGTTTTTATCGAATTATAACCTCAAGTGGCCACAATATATAACCTCTAGCCATCCCTTAATATTTGATAAATAAAATCTGCCAACGTACTGTCCGGTCGGGGTTGGGGGGCCCTCAGGGATGGGGTGTCATCCTGATAAATAAAATCTCTATACAAGTTTCAAAAATTTAACGGTTTTTTCAATGAAATAGAAATGGCTTCAAACAGAATAAAATACAATAAGATATGATCTAATAAAAACTTCACCTAGGGGTGTAAACGAGCCGAGCTGAGCCCGAGCATGGGTAGGCTTGAGCTTGAGCTTGATAAGAATTCCCGAGTTCGAGCTCGATCCGAGCTTGGACGAGTTAAATAATTCGGGCTCGAACTCGAGCCGAGCTCGGCCCGAACTCAATTCGATCTCCATTCGAGCTCGGGTCAAGTATCACTAATTAATTTTTACAGGTTTGAACTCGAATAAGATGGGTGAACTCGAGCTAAAAATATAATATGTGTTTCTCATTTTTAATTTATCTCTCATTTACTGATATTTTTATTCTTTATTTTACTATTATAATTATTACATATTATGGTTATAATAATAATACTACGTACATGTTATTATTTTGTAATTATTACTATTATAGTATACTTCGTGAAAAAGATTGAAAATGGAATAGTCTTAAATTAGAATATATATTCCAAAAAAGTACATATATAATTATTACATACGAAGTATATAATTATATATAAAATATACTACGTATAAAATATGACACAGGCTTGCGAGCCGGCTCGCGAGCCACGAGCCTAAAATGAATAGGCTTGAAATGAGCTTGTTAACTATTCGAGTCGAGCCGAACTCGAGTCGAGCTTAATATGATCGAACTCGAGTCGAGCTCTTCCCGAGCGATCCACGAGCAGCTCGCGAGCGGCTTGGTTCATTTACACCCCTAACTTCACCTATTTGGAGGCAATACTCAATAGAGTGTGGTCTTTAAGTACCGGTAATACTTATTCATCCTTTAATATTTGGTGAATGAATCTCCATACGAGCTTTGAAACTTTAGTTCTTTCCCATTAGCTGAAAACAACTTCAAAATGAATGAAATTCATTAACATGATCAAATCAAACACTTCATTGGTTTGGAGTAAATAGAGTGTGGTATTTGATTTATTGGTAACATGTACTCATCCTTTTATACTATCCTCTGTTCCGTTTTAATCGCAACATGTTGAATTTTACACTATTCACATGCTCTACTTTGACTACATTTTATGCTATAATTTTATGAAAATTATTTTTTTAAAAAATATTGTTTAATTCATCTCATTACAAATTTTCAAAATATGATTTTTAATATTTTTTTTACTAATAGAATTAAGATATTATTACGGTCAAAGACGTGCGTTGACAAATGTGAAATGTTGACCGTTGCAACTAAAAAAGAACTGAGGGAGTATTTGGTAAATAAATTATCAATATGAGTTGAAGAGTGTTTCAGGGCCTTTCCAATGAGATAAACATGGCTTCCAACGGAATATAATACATCAAGAAAAATCAAACTTTCTTAGAAATTAATCTTTTCTTGATTAATTTTGAAAAATTACTGGGAAATTTATCTTTAATCCGCTCGGTCGAATGGTCGATGGTGTATGAATTTAAGCTTACTATTACAGCAAGAGATGTTGGTCTAAGATACAAATACATCCTATTTAAATTTAAAGCAAGAAGAGAGAGATAGTATCTTTCACACTTTCCTACACAATTTATAAAACACTAACTAATTGCCTACTTGGTAACAAAAAAAATCTACTAAGAAATTAATGTGTAACAGATAAAAATAAAATCAACGGGATGAACCGTTGCCCAGATAATCAACGATAAATAAATACCGTTGCCCAGAGCCAAAAGGCTAAACCAAGTTTTATTCCAAGATGATCAGAATGAACCCTAGCAAGGGGTATAAATAGCTTCTACAAGAAAACCCTAATCAAGCCCAAATTACTTAAACCCTAATTAAGCCCAATTTAACTTAACTAACCACTCTACTAATAATAGGCCCAACTAAAACATAATGATAAATTTTATAAATAAATAAAACTATAATCCCTAACTCAGAACCGGCCCACGGAAGTGAGCCCAATCCCGTTCCCGCCCTAGGTTCTTCTTGCTCTCTATCAATCCACCCCCCTTCAAATAACCTTGTCCTCAAGGTTGTAATTTCGCAGATCGAGGACTGAAATCTCCAATCATGGAATAGACTGGAAAATATCCTTCATCGCCTTCCGGAACCTTTTCCCGGCCAGTTATTTCACAGTACTCATGTTGCTGGAGGTCCAACTCCTCATCCTCCTCAGCTATCATTACCCGCAACTGCTTAAAGGGGCAGTCATGCCCTGGTGTAAATGGTTTCTTACACCTAAAGCATAATCCTTTAGCCCTCAATTCTGCGAACTCCTTTGGCGGAAGTCGAGTGAACTGAGAACGTGTCGTAGGCTGCCCAGACAGCCCTGACTTTGTCCTCGGGGGTTGTCCACTATCCTTCGGGAAGCTGCCACTTGATTCCTGTAGGCTGTCATCACTCTCAGTCAACGGAGGGTTCGTGTTTGGCCTTAAAAAGCTACTGGAACGTACACCTGAAGGATTATAATCCTGACTGTCACTTCCTCCACGCTGGACGGACAGATTGTACTCCACATCACGAGCTAATTCCATGGCTGTCTCCAAGCTATTTGGGCGCAGCAACCTCAACGAACCCCGAACCGGTCCCTTTAGTCCATTCATAAAGTACCCGAGGTAATGATCGTCAGACAACACAGGAACCTGACTAGCCAACTGGACAAAGATCGAGGTATACTCCTCCACCGTCCCTGTCTGCTTGACCCCGGACAATCGCTCGAAACGACTGCCCGTAAACCGTGTGTCAAACCTCGCCACCAGGCCTGCGTAAACTCTTCCCACATCATGCTAGGTTTCCGCTTCCTTACCCACGTTACCCAGTACAAGGCTGCTCCTTCCATGGCGACTACAGCCGCTGGTACCTTCCTCTCTGGCGGCGTAAAACTCAGTTCAAATTGCTGCTCTGCCCTAGCAAGCCAACCAATGGGATCCGCCCCGTCAAACGAAGGAAGCAACGCCTCTTGCGTGACTCGCGGACGTCGCTCAGAAGCAGCGAAGCCGCCCTGGTCTTCGAAGTCGCCGCCGCTGCTGAAGGTGGCCGACGTCTCGATTTGCGACGTCATCGCCGCCGCCGAAGCCCCGTACGCCGCTGTCACCTTCCCTCCAGTTGCGCCTGTCGTCGTGAGCACAACCAGGGCGGCTGCGATCTCGCTCAGTTGCGCAATCAGCGCATCAATATAATTGAAATATTATAGTTTTTATGTTGGATTTAAAAGGTTTTTTCAAATACACTACTGAAATAAATCTTATTTACAAAATATGGTTAATAGTTACTACTACGTATAATATAGTATCATGATAACTTAAGTTTAAAGTTGAACATAAATTACTATGATACAGCTGCTACTACATTCATTACATATTAGAGGTCAAATTTTTATAAATAATTTTTAGTTCATTCATAAATATGTAATTATTTCTAGATTTAATTGGGCATTTGAAGCATTTTTTCCTTGTTCAAGTATTGCCAAACTAACGACAACTGCTGCTTTTAGATTTAGGTTTCAATTTCTTTTTAATTTGGTGAACTATCATTTTTGGCTGAAGAACAAAAGAGATAAGTCAAGTGAAATCCCATTGATTCTTTTTCATCAACATCCTTAGCTGGACAGGACAGTAGGAAGGTGAAGGGAGAGTTCAACCCTAATGGTGAATATACTTATTGACTCTATGTATTTGGGTTGTACAATAAAATTGAGTGAATAGACTCAAACTTTGGTGTTTTTAACTTATTCACTTGATGGGCTGCCAATGAACATAGCATTCTGTAATGGAATAAGAGAAACATCCTGTATTGTTGTGTATTTTTCAGATGATGTGTTACAAGTTTTCTTAATGAAGTCATCAATCAACTAACAATAGAGAAATGGACAATGACAAATCTGATGCTACGATCATTCCATCAATTTCAGAATGTCGGACACCTTGTCAGTGTAATAATCTGGTTTGATGTCGTTTGCAGGGTCTAAAAGTGTTGCTAGATTTGTCACACCTGCAATAAACAACAGTACAGACATTTCAGGGCAAGAAAACTGTTCTATCCTGTTTTAACGTTTCACTAGGCTTCCTTAAAACGTTCTGAAATTTTCTCCTGCCAAGAACAGCAATAACTAGCCTCAGACCTGAAAGAACTAGGAGAGTGTGGCAACCAGAATTCTGTCCAAATAGTATATCAGTGTCCAATCTGTCACCCACCATGCACATTCTTGAGGTAGTGATATTGTACCTGCATGAAGACAATGAAGCCAACGCCAAGGATATCAAGTATCAACAACTCTTCAATTAAACTAATTAGAGGTGAGATTCTCCTGCCAAAACGTAGACACTTGCCAGGTTCTGACACAAAAGTTATTACTAGATTAGCGAGGTGAGGAATGATATGATACTTCTTGAGTTATACTTCATCCATTCTCTTTTAGTTGCAGTAGTCCACCTTTCACTTTTCACGTTTGGCAACGCACAAGTTTGACCATTAATATCTTTCATTTCTTATTAGTAAAAAAATAAAAATTTCATATTTTGAATATTTAAAATAAGAGGAACTTGACAATAATTTTCAAAAAATTATTTTATAATATATTAATAAAAAAATGTTGTCAAAGTAGGGTATGTAAATAGTGCAAGACTCACCAATGTTGTAACTAAAAAAGAACACAAGTAGTATAAGAGTATGACTTTAGAGACACCGAAGTAAAATTGATAGTATACATGAGGGATTGATCTCTTTTTGTCTTTAACTCTGATTTCATATGTGGATTCATGTTTGTTGATCCAAAACGTTTTTGGGTCATGGATCTTATTGGTGGTAGCCAACAAGAACCCGACCTAGGGT